GAGGACCCACTGTCTGATTGGATTTCTGCCCGAGAAGAAGAAAATCCCGATTTTGTGAATCCCCCGTTGGTCTCAGGTTGGGCCTACTCCGACGGCTCGGCCAGAGGCCCTCCAGGGCTCAAGAGTTTCGGCTGGGGCTACGTTTTCCTGGACCAGGACGGGGGGGCTGTCAAGGCCATGCGGGGTACCCTCCCAGGGCTGCGTAGTCTCGCCTCCGTCCTCCGTGCCGAATTGTATGGATTGCTCAAGCTGCTGGCTAGCGCTCACCCGCCTTTGCGGGTAGGGATCGACAATAGTTCGGTCATCCGAGGCCTCCGTAGGGGCCCCCGCTGGTGCTGCAGCCCTCGGAGGCCGCACGCCGACCTCTGGGGCAGGGTCTGGGCCCTGCTCCAGGACAGTTTCGGCCAGGAAGGCGACTTCCAGGCCGTCAAGGTGAAAGCCCACGCTCGTGGGCCCAAGGACGACTCCCACGAGAGCCGTCTCGATTTTCAAGGGAATCAATTGGCAGACAGCGAAGCCCGCCTTGGGGCCGACATGCAGGAGGTTCCCCCGTGGAAGACCCAGACCTGGACCACCCGCTCGGCGGAGGTCCAGGCGGTGCTGACTCTGGTGGCGGGGGTGACGGGGCGGACTGCGGATTTCGGGGATTCCACGGGGAGGCCTGCCGCGGGCTCCCGCGGAGCCCGCCGACGGCGGCAGGGGCCGCCCAAGGGTGCTCGCGCCCACGTCCTCCTCTGGAGGAGGGGGGCGTGGCGGTGCGCGACGTGTGGCCGCAAGGCTTTCTCCAGCAAGGCCAGACGCGCGTTGGCGCGCAGGCCCTGCCAGGGTAAGATGAGGGTGGATCGTCGTTGGGGTGTCGAGCTGGGGCGGGGGGACGGGGAAGGAGACATCTCTCCCGCCCTTCGCGGTGCGGCTCTTGGACACGAGCTGCACCGCGTGGGCCAGTACACCTTCTGCGATCGGTGCGGTGTTTTCTCGAGCGAAGGGGGGTGCAAGCTCCTTGGTGCCTGCGGAGGGGCTCCAGCGAACCCCACCGCAGGGTACCGCCTCTCGCTCCTGCGCCGAGGCAGGAATCCTTACGCAGTGAAGGTCTCCCTGGATGCGGTACCGCGCTCCCTGGTACAGGAGGAGTGCGCCGCCTTCTGGGAGGGCCTCATGGACTGAATCGGGATGGAGGCGGGAAGGCACCCCGTGGCGGAGTGCCCGCCTATCCCATTTTATCTTGTGGCGAGCTGGGGCGGGGACCGCCAGGCATCGTTCTTGCAGCAAAAACCTCCTCCTCCTCCTGGGCAGAGCACCCGGTGGCGAAAACGGCCTGTGGGCCAACCCCGCGGGCGCAGGTCCGCAAAAGCGGTGGCCGTCTCATGAGAACCGGGGAGACGCAAGACTCGGGATCGGGGGACGCGGCTTTGGCCTGGCGAGGCCGTCAAGAAAATGGCGAGACTCAGTCTGAAATCTGACGCGACGTCCCGCTGCGAACATCCAACGAAACCTGGACCGTCAGAATCCAGGACGGGCTCGTCAAAAGGCATCGGCAAACCCGAGTTCCCGCGAATTCCAGTTATACGCTTCCACGATTGAAACGCATAAGCACAAACTTCCAGAGGTCCGCACGAATGTCCTGGATCGGCGCCGGATGGGCCCAGCGCCGATCCAAGAAACCCGAGTGGACCTGCGAAGTTTGTGTTGATGCAGGACTTCTTATTCTCATTGCTTTTCGTATTACTATTGTGTTTCATGTTCTTCTTTTAGTATTACTAATCTTCTTATGATTATTAATGTCGTTCTTCTTCGGAACACCTTCCCGAGAAGGCGACATGGGGCTCTATCGACTTGGTAAGGGGGGCTTCTTTCAATCCCCGATGGGACGCTGCAGAGGAGACAGCTGCTGCAGCATCCACGCAGAGGCCGCCCGGCGCTTGCCGTCGCTCGGACGCGGCTTTCGTGTCCGCACCTTGTTTCCTCCCCCCCGCCTGCCCCCCTCCCCCCGCGGGCGCTGAGGCAGCTCGAAAACTCCTTGCGGCTCCGAAACGCTGAAAGCGTGGGTCCAAGCTGAGCGAGTGGATCCACGAGTACACGCACCGAACAAAACGAGCAAAAAATGATCGAGCGACGCTGCGGTCAAGAACTTTTGCTTAGCGTGTCGCGGCGGCGGCACCGGCGACACGCTGTGCCCGCAATCGGATAGCGTCCCGCTCCGCGGGGCGGGAGGCTTCAAAAGGCTCCGGATGTTGACGCCTGGGGACCAGGATGTGGTCAGCTTGAAACGCCGGAGCGCCGTGGGAAAGGACGGAGCGCTACACGCAAAGCAGACGTGGCTGACCGGACGGCCCACCCGAGGGCGGATCCGAGATTGACGGCACGGCATTTCGAGTCAACCCCAGCGGGATAGCCAATAGACGCCCAACAACAGCCGACTGTGTCCAGCGAGACTCACGTTCATTCGAGAAACCGACTGGGGACTGCACTGGCACACTCGAATGCCAATGTCGAGTGAACCAGCGCAGATTTCCAGTCGGCTTGTCTGGGCGGGCGTGCAGGGAGGCATGCAGGTTATCTTCTGAATATCCCCAGACTCCGATCTGATTCAGGCACCTTCCAAATTCAAGAAACAAGTGGTGTGTGTCCCTCCTCACTCGTCTTCATGGGGCGGTCCGAAAACCCATAGTTATACGTTCAACGCCTTCCTACTTCCTGCGTGGCAGGTCCGTGTCAAGCCGACTTCGGCGTCGGCTCCAGACCCCGCCTGGAACGATCGGCCGTGTCCGAAACGCCAGACCGTTCCATCTTGGTCGATTCTGGGCCACCGGCGCCGCTCAGTCTTGACCGCTGGCGGCGCAGGCACAGCCGCAGCGGCACGCTACGAACCTACTACGTGCCCGCCTCTCGGGCATGGCAGAGTCTCGATCTTGCCTCCCGGCATGCCCAAGCGGAGCTGCGGTGGCAGGCGGAGGCGGCGACGACGACGACGACGACGGCGACGACGACGGCGACGACGACGACGACGGCGACGGCGACGACGACGACGGCGACGACGACGACGACGGCAACGACGGCGACGACGACGAGGGCGACGACGACGACGACGACGACGACGACGACGACGACGACGACGACGACGACGACGACGACGGCGACGACGACGACGACGACGACGACGGCGGCGGCGTGGCCCATCGCCGGCGAAACACCGACGAACGGCGCGTCGGCGGCGGCGGCAGACTCCCGCCAGACCGGCACGGGAGCGGCGGCGCTGAGGATCACCCCGAAGGGGCCTTCCCAGACAAGCGCGCTCCACTGCTCGCTGAGTAGCTACACCCCAACGTAGAGGTAAGGAAATTCTCAGCTGAGGGCATGACCTTCACTCCAAGCGCGTTCTGAGACAATAGTGCAAGTCCAGAATAGAAAAGTGCTACGGAAAAGCAAGCTCCTTTCGGGCAGGATACAGTCAATATTCTGAATTACCTCAAACGAAATTTGGGGTCCATAGAAATCCATGCGGTTCCCCAAACAGTACTTGCACTTCGGGTGTCTCATTTTTCCCTAAGGTTCTAAGAGACTGAGAGTGTGTGGCAGTCTGGCGGCTACGCTGTCGCCGTCGCCGCCTCGTCGCCGCCTCGTCGCCGCCCGTCTTCTGGGCCTGTGTGGCGGTCCAGCGGATACGTATGTTGGCTCCGTCGCCGCCACGTCGCGGCGTCGTAGCAGCAAGTCGTCCGGACCTAGATGGCGGTCTGGCGGTTATGTCGTCGCCGTCACCGCCCCGTCGCAGACCATCTTCTGGGCCAGTGTGGCGGTCTGGCGGTCATGTTGTCGCCGTCGCCGCCCTGTCGCCGCCTCGTCGCCGCCCGTCTTCTGGGCCTGGGTGGCGGTCTGGCGGCTATGCTGTCGCCGTCGCCGCCCCGTCGCCGCCTCGTCGCCGCCAGTCGTCTGGGCCTGTGTGGCGGTCTGGCGGCTACGTTGTCGCCGTCGCCGCCCCGTCGCCGCCGCGTCGCCGCTTCAAAATTTGCACCACATGGATTGCACAACATAGTCTGCACCACATAGCGCACCACATGGACAATCTCCAACATACATTTCACAAGAGGAACTGCACTGCCTATATTGATCCGCGCGGATTGCACAATAAATACTGCACCAGATAGCTTGCACAACCGACATTGCACAACACAGCTTGCGCCACATAGATTGCGCCAGATGCTGCTCCACACAGGTTGTACAACATAGATTGCACCATTGATATTGCACAACACCGATTGCACCAAATATAACGTACAGCGTACATTCCACAAAACAGATTGCACAACACATACATATATATATATATATATATACATTCTCCGTTCTAAACAATATTTAGATATACCCTTTCCCCCCCCCCCCCCCGAGTTTAACGGCCCCCCTTTCGCGCATTGCAATGTACAAATGATTCTGCCCCATCGTCCATCCCAAATATTTACGCCTGCCATCCCAGGCAGACCGGAACAACGTGCACTTGCGCGCGTCGAAGCGCGCGCGTGACGAAATCCTCCAAAAACCTTAGGTTCCTTATGGATTTCAATATCGAGTGTCCCGACAATATATATATATATATATATGTATAACCCGTTGGGCAACAAAGATGTTGAAACCAAAAACTGTTTTTTCATATTCTTTTGAAAACCATCGGTCTTTCAACATGTTCATCAACTGCTACCAAACGTGCCTCTCGCGCGCGCATGTCGAAATCGCTGGAACGCCCTTGCGCGCGTGTTGCCGCAAGAACTCCCTGCAAAAAAAAAACGAAGCGCACACGCGCGCGACATGCATTGCGCAACGCAACGCCCGAGGCCCGGCCGATCCTGGCGCTCCGGGCCCACGCCCCTTTCGGGCCCCTCCGGAGCCCGGAGCCCCAGGGGGCTCGCTTGTAAGTACCGCTTGGGTAATTACCTTTTCGGATCACCCTCGCCCCCCCCTCCGTTTATGACCCCCCCAATTGCGCCACGCCCGAGGACCGGCCGATCCTGGCGCTCCGGGCCCACGCCGCCGCCCTCCGCCGCGCGCTCGGCGGCGCAGCACCCGTCGGCCTCCTCGCAGACCTCGGCGGCGCCGGGGCCGCGCCCGGACCCGGGCGCCCGGCGCCCCGGCGGGGGCGCCCCGCGGGAAGCTGCCGGGGCGGGGGCGGCGCGGGGGCGACGCCCCCAGAGGTCCAACGACTTGGCAAAATCTGGACGGAGGTTTTTCGCTGTTTTCGGCCTCGAGGGGCCCTCGCCGGGCCCCTCGAGGGGCCCTCGACGTCCCCAGAGGTCCAGCGACTTGGCAAAATCTGGACGGAGGTTTTTTTGCTGTTTTCGGCCTCGAGGGGCCCTCGCCGGGCCCCGAGACCGTCACAAGACGTCCCCAGAGACTTGAAAAAATCTTGACGGAATCGTTTCGCTATTTTCGGCCTCGAGGGGCCCTCGCCGGGCCCTTCGAGACCGTCCAAAGACGACTCGGGATGAAAAACCGTTCCTGGGGAATGGGTCGAGACTTCCGGGGGCCGCGCATTGAAAAAATCACGACGTCGGATCTCTGGGTCGCGGAAAAATTGCAGCATCGTGAAAATCACCACGGGAGCTCCGTACCCCCCCCCCAGACCTCCGGCGATATGATGTCTTCAGTCCAGGCGGACTTCCTCCTTTTCGGCCTCGGGGACCCGTTATTTGGGCCCTGGGGCCATCAAAAGCGGATCCGGGGCGCAAGAGTGCTTCCTAGGGAAGGGGTCGAGACTTCCTGGCCGAAGACGCCCGCTGCGAGGAAACTGCAGCGCCAGGAGCTCAGGGGGAGGCGGCCTTCGGTCGGCCCCACGCAGGAGCGGCCCTATAGGCAAGAGTGGCCTTCGGTGCGCAGCCTGCGTACAGGCCGCCCAAACGGTGTCCGAGCAGATGGGGTCGGAGGATCGCGCCGCATCGCCGATGCATCGCCCCAAGAGGCTACGGGGCAAGGGCGGCCAATTTCCGCCCGTCAGGAGAAACGATCGGCGATAATCCAATCCTAGACATCCTCGCGTCGTAAAAAATCACGACGGGGGGGTTTTGGCCGTGATCAGCCTTGGGGGGCCCTCGCCAGGCCCCAAGACCTCCCAAAAGCGGCGCATGGCAGAAAGCCGGTCCTGGGAGAGGGGGTGGCGCGAGGGCGGCGGCCTTCTGTCTGCTACGCGCAGGAGTGGCCCTGAGCACGAGTGGCCTCTTGTGGAGCGGCTTGATCTTCCCCATATCCTAAGATGGGGTTCTTGTTATTACTCGGACGCCGCCGACTCCAGAGAAACAGAGAGAACACACCTACTCATACACAGACTTACTCATACTCAGACCTACTCATACTCATACCTTCTCATGGTCTGACTTACTCAACACACAATATGCAGGCCTACTCATACTCAGACTTACTCATGCTGGGACTTCTTCATACCCAGACTTACTCATACCCAGACTCATTTCCAGACCTGCTCATACACAGAGTTACTCATACTCAGACCTACACATACTCAGACCTTCTCACAGTCTGAGTTACTCAACGCACGGACTGAGACCTACTCATACTCAGACCTAGTCATACTCAGACTCGCAAGGGGAACCGCCAGGGGTGTTTTTACGGGCCCGTTCGCGGCCAGTTTGTGGGGATGTCTCAGGCGGTTTGCTCGTTGTCATGCCCAACATCCTTTGCTTTCAGAGCAGATTGTGAGGATGTCTCAGGCGGGGCGCTGGCTTCAGCACCCCCTAAGGGGAGCAGCCAGGGGTGTTTTTACGAACCCGTTCGCGGCCAGTTTGCGGGGATGTCTCAAGCGGTTTGCTCGTTTTCATGCCCAACATCCTTGGCTTTCAGAGCAGATTGTGAGGATGTCTCAGGCAGGGCGCTGGTTTCAGCACCCCTAAGGGGAGCAGCCAGGGGTGTTTTCACGGGCCCGTTCGCGGCCAGTTTGTGGGGATGCCTCAGGCGGTTTGCTCGCTTTCATGGCCAACATCCTTCCTTGGCTTTCAGAGCAGATTGTGAGGATGTCTCAGGCGGGGCGCTGGTTTCAGCACCCCTAAGCGGAGCCGCCAGGGGTGTTTTCACGGGCCCGTTCGCGGCCAGTTTGCGGGGATGTCTCAAGCGGTTTGCTCGTTTTCATGCCCAACATCCTTGGCTTTCAGAGCAGATTGTGAGGATGTCTCAGGCGGGGCGCTGGTTTCAGCACCCCTAAGTGGAGCCGCCAGGGGTGTTCTCACGGGCCCGTTCGCGGCCAGTTTGCGGGGATGTCTGAAGCGGTTTGCTCGTTTTCATGCCCAACATCCTTGGCTTTCAGAGCAGATTGTGAGGATGTCTCAGGCGGGGCGCTGGCTTCAGCACCCCCTAAGGGGAGCAGCCAGGGGTGTTTTTACGGGCCCGTTCGCGGCCAGTTTGTGGGGATGTCTCAGGCGGTTTGCTCGTTTTCATGCCCAACATCCTTGGCTTTCAGAGCAGCTTGTGAGGATGTCTCAGGCGGGGCGCTGGTTTCAGCACCCCTAAGGGGAGCCGCCAGGGGTGTTTTCAAGGGCCCGTTCGCGGCCAGTTTGTAGGGATGTCTCAGGCGGTTTGCTCGTTGTCATGGCCAACATCCTTGGCTTTCAGAGCAGATTGTGAGGATGTCTCAGGCGGGGCGCTGGTTTCAGCACCCCTAAGGGGAGCCGCCAGGGGTGTGTTCAAGGGCACGTTCGCGGCCAGTTTGTGGGGATGTCTCAGGCGGTTTGCTCGTCGGTGCGCTCATGAACAGACGCTCACAATGGCATGACATAAAACATGAGATGCACATATGGGGAGCTCCACGCAGTGAGTATTTTTTGTGGCGCGGCTTAATATATACCAGGGAGCTGGAAACACACACGGCGCAGAGCCAAGGGGGGCCAAGCGCTGGATACACCTGCGGAAGCCAGCCTGCACTTCCATGAAGGGGAGCGAGCGCTGGAAGGGCATCCGGACACATGCATCCAGCTCTCGCCCACCACGCCTTCTAAGAAGCCCCTCCGCCTTCTCAGAAGGCCGCCCCCCTCCCCACCACACCCTCTACAGCGCCGCCAGCAGACGTCTGGCCTCAAGCGAGGGGGCCGATTTGAAGGCCGATTGCCGCTGGAGGCTAGTTTCGGGCCCTGGGGCCGCCAAGCAAGTGCCTAGCATGCGAGACAGGCTGCAGGGATCGGGATCGAGGAGGAGGCAACCACAACCGCTGGGCTGAAGGCACCGCCGCTGGCGACTCCCCCGGCCCAGCGGTGATGTTCGTCTCCTCTTCGCTCCTGAAGGGGGGGGGGGGGGGCGAGCCCTCTGGTCGAAAAAAATATTCACGCTTCGCGAACCCCCGCCAGCCCATTCAGAAACCCTGCCCACGAGATCTGACGGGAAATGGGAAGCAAAGACGCATATCGTGAAACAGAGCGGTCGAAGAGACGAGGGGGAGGAACGTGTTGAGCAATGTTGGAGGCTATTTGGGAGCATCGGAGGCCGTCTTGGAACTATGGGTTTTTGTTGGGGCGTCTTGGAGTCCTCTTGGGGTTTTTTGGGGCGTCTCGGGGTCCTCTTGGGGCTCTTTTGGGGCGTCTTGCGGCCCTCTTGGGGCCCCTTCTTGGGGCCCTCTTGGGGCTCTCTTGGGGCTCCCATGGCGTGGTCATCACCAGACACCCCCAACCATGAAAAATTGTCTTCTCATGTTTTCGCATCTGCAAGGCGCGCCACGTCCACGGGAACATCGGGGCTTCGAGTGCCAGCTACCCGAACAGAAGTGCAGGAGCACTCTCATGTCCCGAAGGTAGCGGCATCAAACCGAAGAATTCTTCCATGCGGAGCCACCACATCTGAACCACATCTGAAATTCAGACCAGGGCAATCTGAAATTCAGACCGAACCCATTTGAATTTCAGACCAGGCCAATCTGAACTTCACACCAGGGCAATCTGAAGCTGAATTTCAGACATGGCCATGTGAATTTCAGATGTGGGGAGCGCCGCCCAAAACAACATGTGTCATGATTTCCCTCCACGATCAACCTGGAGCGAGGGAAATGCACTACCCCGCCGTGCCCGTGACAGCGCATCGACATGCAAGTCACATGAGCTCGACAATCGCGCGCGTGCGCGTCGACGCCGATCTCGCCAACGCGTCGGTGCAGCCTGCGAAAAGCCCAGGCACCAACATTCATTTGGAAAAGATTGATATTGGGGGTGTCTGGTAATCATGCGGTAGCGATGGGAGCTTCGGAAGGCCTCCTCGGGCAATTCTGGAGGCCATCGATCAAAAGGGCGGGGTCCCTTATCGAGGCCCCCACCTACGAGCCCTCGAAATCGCCTCTGCGGGCCCTCTTGGGGCGTCCTTGGGGCGATATTGGGCACTTTGGGGGCCGTCTTGGGGGCCTCTTGGGCCCATCTTGGATCTCTCTTGGGCCATCTTGGGGCCATAGGCCTCAAAAGCGCATCAGAAGCAAAGAGGCGAGAAGGCCAAAATAATAGATTTCCCTCTGGTTTTTGACGGATGTTGGCGTATCGGTGAGGTCCTGAGGGATGTCCACAAGCACTTGGATCCGTCTTGTGGCCCTCTTGGGGCCTCTTGGAGGCACGCGGCTAGCTGTATTTAGCCGTGTTGGGCTATCTTGAGCGATCTTGGAGGCCATCTTGGGTTCCCTGGGGCCCTCTTGGCCTCTTGGAGCCATCTTGGGCCAAAAAGGACCATCTGACACCTCGCGATCCCCCCCCCGTCCAGGTCCACGGGAGGGGGTAGGGGGAGGGGCGAATCCTTTCCCGAAGGGGAAGAGCGGGCTCTTGGAAGAGGGAAAAAAGACATCGTTCGACCGCCTGCGCCGGAAGGCTGGCGGGACTGCTCCCGAAGTGAAGCCCACCCTCCCCCTCAGAAATCGCGGGGGGCAGGGGTAGGATTCGCACGTGGCCCCCTCATTGGGGAACCCACGACCACCACCCCCTGCCTGCAAGCTGAAGCGGAAAGGGGGCGGGGAGGGAGCACGGCGGAGGCGGCGGCACCCGGCCCGCTCCGAGGGGAGGAGGGGTGCGGGGAAGGGGCCATGCAGAGCAGGCGCGGGAACTGCGCGCGGACCTCCGAAAGCTTGAATTCACGCAGCTTGCCTCCGTCTGTCCCAGAGGGAAAGGAGCGCGTTCACCCCCCAGTGCAAGATGGCTGTTCGAAGGCTCCTGCGGGCGAGCAACCGCCGCCCACTGCCTCTTGGAAGCGCCCATGCGGCCAAACGTTGGGCCGAAGTCTGGCCAGGCTATTGGACCAGGCGTTCCCCCAGCCGTTGTGAACACACATTGAACGAACACCTGTGAGAGAAAGAGACAGAAGCATAAGAGGCAGGAGGAGGACATGGAGGAGGAGGAGGACGTGGATGAGGAGAAGGAGGAGGAGGGGGGAAAGGAGGCCTCTTGAGGCCGTCTCGTAGCTTCCTAGGGGGCTTCCTGGGAGCCTCTTGGGGGTCTCTGAGGCGCCTCTTGCGGGCCTCCTGGGGCCTCTTAGGGGCCTCCTGGGGCATCGTGGAGGGCCTCGAAGGGAGCCTCTTGGCCTTCGGAGGCCGTCATGGGGGCCTCTCTGGGCAGTCGTGGGTCTCGATTTGGGAGCGTTGGGGCCGCCTACCTGGAAGTCTTGCGGGCCTCTTGGGGGCCTCTTGGGCCGTCTTGGGGCGATCTGCGGGGCCCCTGGGGCCATCTTGGAGCGTCGGAAGTCCGAAAAAGCGAGACCGCTAAACTCCTGGAAAGACGAAAGGAAATCAATGATTTAGGTCTCCTAGAAATCCTCTTAGGGTGTCTTCAGGGCCTCATGGGCCGTTTGGGGGGGCCTTGGGCCGGCTTGTTGGGGATATGTTGGCCGTCTTGGAGGCGTCTTGAAGGCGTCTTGGAGGCACCTCGGAGGCCTTATTGGGGAATCTCGGCCGTTTTGGAGGCGACTTGGGCAAGGAGAAGCGTATGTTGTGGGTGGCTCGTGTGGCCAGCTAGTTACAACAAATACACGCCCAGCGTGCCGTGCACCCTACAAGGGGCGGCGGATCGGGCTGCTCGGTCTCAAACGGAGGCGGTGCACAGCAGGCAGCCTGTGGTGTGGCCTTAGTGCACAGACGTCAGCACCCCCAGGGAAAAGAGGAGAGGCGAGAGGAGGAGGATGTGCCAGTCGGCCGCAGAAAAGAACAGCACTGCACTTTGCAAGGAAGAAACGTCGAGACAGATTCTGGCATGCCCAGATACACCAGGTCTAAGGAAGTGGTTACGAAACATCAGATGGTACAAGTAGCGCGTGCGCAGGCTGCGAAGGATACAAGTATGTAAGAAATGTGAGATCGTAAATGTTTGCATTAGTTCAACACCCCACGTGAATTCATTTCTCTCAGCCCACGTCCAGCCCTGCTTCCGCCAGGCTGCTTCCGGGCCGATGCGCTTCGACCGGGCCTTGCTTGCTTGCCGGAGCGCTCCCTTTCATTTCCTGCGCGATGAAGTTGGACAATTTCGTGACATGGTGACTCCTCTCTGCAGACTCCGCCGTGCCCTCCAGGGGCCTCTTCCCTGGCCATATTTCAACGGCACTGGGGATGCAAATGCCACGACGAGAGCAGCCAGACACACCCCGCTGCGCCTGCCTGTTCACAGCACGGATCAATGGTTCCCAACCCCCACGGGGGCCAGGGAGCGGACGCCGGAGGCCGCAAGAGGCCGAAGGCCTCCCCGAACCCAGACCCTCGGACCTGCCCCCACGTCCTGCGGGCCGGGACGAGTGCTGGGCCAGCTCGGACCCCCGGTCGGCTCCAACCAGACCGCAGCTCGGCGGCGAGCGAGGGGGGAGGTGAGGAGGAGAAGGAGGCCTTCTCAGAGGGCGGCGGCACCTCTCGAAGCCCCCGCGCCTTCGGAAGAGTTTTTCCGGCAGCTTCAGGGAAGGCTTAGAGAACTTCTAAGACGGCCTTGGGACTGCCGAGCCTTCTGAGAAGGCCGGCCCCTTGTCACTTCGCCCCCTGGCTCGCCGCCGACTGTCGGCTCCAACCTGGCCGTAGCTTCTTCGAGGAGAGGTCGGGTGTTGCTCGAAGCGACCCTGGCCCAAAGTGTCCCCGGGATTTCCATGGAGGCACCCACGGCCTCCTGAGCACCCCTCAGGAGACCCAGCAGGCCCCATGAGCTCCCAAATGGAGGGAAAAGCTGGGGGCACATTTGAGGGGCAACGATGGGGAGGTGACTGGCATAGGAAGGGGGAACATCGACCTGGAATCGGCGATAGATCGGCACTAGGACCCCGATAGCGAATCCGCACATTCCTGGGCGGGGTGGGCTATCAGACCCTTAACGACGATCAATGGGCAACAGGGGGTTGATGCATCCCCATCTGTGCCTATCTCCACCTATCGTTGCCCCTGACAGGGTCACCTTTAGCCTCTAGTAGGGCGAGAATGGTGTCATGATACGATTGGCTCAAGATACGTTCCAGAATTCCCAAGAGTATCTGGCAGCGCAGCCGGAGTGGAACATTAGAAAAAACATGGGACATCCTGGGAACCTTGGAAATCCTGGAACGCATCATGTTCATGACCTCTTGCTCCCCTGATCTAGCAATCCCGTAAGCTGGAGAGCCCACAGAAGGACGCACGCGCCCAATCACGTTTCATGGCTGCGGCCACCCTGCCCGCGAGACCGGCCTCGGGATGTACGAACGCTCGCGCAGCGCGTCTTTCCGAAACCCTATCTGTTGAAACTAGCTGGCCACACGAGCCACCCACAACATGCGTCTCTCCTTGCCCAAGCCGCCGCCAAAACGGCCGAGATTCCCCAAGAAGGCCCCCGAGGTGCCTCCAAGACGCCTTTCGAGACGCCTCCAAGACGGCGTGGATTCGCACGCGTGCACGCCCTCCCCTCGCTCCTGCCAAGCGGGAATCCGAGCCCCGCGCGTCGCTCCGGCACCGCGCCTGCGCCGCGCCGCCGCGCGGCGCGAAGCCCGGGCCGCAGCGCGCCGAGGCGCAGGTGGCGCGGGCCTCCGGCGGGGGCGCGCCGGGCCGGCGCTCTCGAGGAAGAGGAGGAGGAGGGAGGAGAGGAGGAGGGAGGAGGAGAGGAGGCAGGAGGAGAGGCGGAGGAGGGAGCAGAGGAGGACGGGGAGGAGGGAGAGAGCGAGGACGAGGCCGAGGAAGAGGAGGCAGAAGAAGAAGAAGGAGGAGGAGGGGAGGTGAAGAAGAAGAAGAAGAAGAAGAAGAAGGAGGGGGAGAGGGGGAGCGGGGGAGGACAAGCTATGTGCGCTCGCGTCATATCTGACGCCCTACCCCTCCCTCCCATACCTTACCATGGCGCTGATTTTCTCTATCCGCGGACGCGTGTCGTAGCGGACCTGTGGCTCCGCGCGCGTGTGTAGTGGGTGGTGGTGCGCGTGCGTGCGTGTGTGCGTGGTTGTGGTTATGGTTGTGGTTGTGGTTGTGGTGGTGGTGGTGGTGGTGGTGGTGGTGGTGGTGGTGGTGGTGGTGGTGGTGGTGGTGGGTGGTGGTGGGTGGTGGTGGGGTGGTGGTGGTGGTGGTGGTGGTGGTGGTGGTGGTGGTGGTGGTGTGTGTGTGCGTGTGTGCGCGTGTGCTGTGGTGTGACGTGGTGTGGCGTCTTGGTGGTTTGGTGGTGGGCCAGGTGCGTGCGTGCGTGATGGCGGTGGTGGCAGTGGCGGTGGTGGTGGTGGTGTGTGTGTGTGTGCGTGTGTGTGTGTGTGTGTGTGCGTGTGTGTGTGTGTGCGTGTATGTGTGTGTGTGTGTGCGTGCGTGCGTGCGTGCGTGCGTGTGTGTCTGTGTGCGCGCGCGTGTGATGTGGTGTGACGCGGTGTAGCGTGGTGGTGGTGGGTGGGGTAGTGGGGTGGTGGTGGCGGTGCGCGTGCGTGCGTGCGTGCGTGCGTTGGTGGGTGGAAGTGGCGGTGGGCGGGGCGGGGCGCGGTGCGGTGGTGGCGGGCGGATGGGCGCGCGAGAAAGAGGCCCGCGCTGGGGCGAGAACGCCATCCTGAACGACGGAGGCAAAACACCGATCCGAAAATGAGACCCACGCTGCAGCGGGAGCACGATTCGGAACGAGCGGGGCCCGAAAATGAGGCCGGCGCCTCAGCGAGAGCAGCATTTTGGAAAAAATGCAGGCGAAAACCCAACTCCGGGGAAACCTGTGTGTAAAAAAAAAGTACGCGGGGGGGGGGGTCGGCTACTCCCATTCCGTCATCAGGGGAAGAGGGAGAGTAGTATTCATATTGAGTAATTGTGGAGGGGGGAGGAAGGGGAGGGGGAGGGGGAGGGAGGAGGAGGAGGAGGAGGAGGAGAGGAGGAGGAGGAGGAGGAGGAGGAGGAGGAGGAGGAGGAGGAGAAGCAGGAGCAGGAGGAGCAGGAGCAGGAGCAGGAGCAGGAGCAGGAGCAGGAGCAGGAGGAGGAGGAGGAGGAGGAGGAGGAGGAGGAGGATAGCAAGGAGGAGAGGGAGGAGGAGGGCGAGGAGAAGAGGGGCGAGGGCAAATGAGACGGACGAGGGGCCCTCCACCACGGACTCGACCGTGGAGCCCTTGCTGCCCATCGGCCTGTCGCTGGCAAAGTCGCTGCGGGGAGGTCTTGGGCTGCAGGTCGCCCGTGGCGGAGACGCGCCGTGCGGGCGCGCCTCTCGCGGTCATGCCGCGGCCGGGAGCGAGGGAGGCCCAGACATGCGACGTCCTGATGTTTTTTCAGTGCTAGAGGCCTCCGCGGGGTCCGAGCAGATGGGGTCGGAGGATCGCGCCACATCGGCGACGTCGGCGATGCATCGGCACCGTCGGCGTGCAGAACGTCGGGCTCCACATCCCCCCGCATCGCCGATGCCTCGGCGACGCGGCGCGATCCTCCGACCCGTCTGCTCCGACCCCATCTGGGAGGTCTAGAACTACGCAGTGCTCCAGAACCCCCGACCCGTTCTCGGCTAGGGGGCCACATGTGAACCCTACCCCTACCCCCCAGGATTTCTGAGGGGGAGGGTGGGGTTCACTCCACTCGGGAGCTCCCGAGCGAAGTGAACCCCACCCTCCCCCTCAGAAATCCTGGGGGGTAGGGGTAGGGTTCGCATCTGGCCCCCTATCGGCGTCCCGCAGTGCTGCGAGGCGCCCAAAGGGTCCGGCGCCTCGGCCTGCGGCCTCGCGGGCGCCAATTGCACGGCCTGAGCCTGGACGGCGGCAGCCACACCACGAGGTGCGGCACGGGCCGAGGGCTGGTCGGTGGGGCTGGTCGCGCGCAGGCTCCGGGAGGCTCGGGAAGGCAGAGCTCACGTCCAGGATCTCGAACCCCTTGAGGTGGAAGATTTGCATGTTTGTCGTTTCTTCCCTGCTGGCACGGCCGTAGGGGTTGATGGGTGGCGCCCCCGCGCGATGCTCGACCTGCCTCTTGAAGCTCAGGAGGCCCTTGTGTCGTTGTATCAGCAATGCGAGTGTCGGGAGGCATCTCCTGGGAGGTCTTCGCGGGAACGATTGAGGGCTACTAAAAGCCCGAGTAGTGTGCCATTGAAGCGTAGGGGAACAAAAACCGGACCCAACTGGACCAAGCGGAGTTAAATGGGTCTCAACGGGACCTGGCCAGATTAGGCCAGTTTCCGACCACGGACCTACCAGCGCCGATACTGAATTTAACTTGCCAGGAGTTGCATCCTAAAAAGTTGAAGCGCGGGAGGAGGAAGACTGAGTTGGCTGTTGCACTCCATTCGACACGTCACTGCTCTGTCCCATCTGCCTGCGCCAGTGCCCATATCATCTCCGACATGATGGACACCGCCACAGGTAGTGACAGCGCAGGTTAACAGGGCAAACACAATATTGCTGAAACGGGAAGATACGGGCACCAGGGGATGCGCTCTGACCAGGATTCCAAGGCGAGTCCAGCCGTGGCGACGAGAGCCCCCCGAATGGCGCAAACGCGAGAAGGTACTCTGGCGGTACGCTTCCATCGTCTGAAATAGCCGCCACCGTGCCCTCGAGGCACGAGCTGCAGAGTCCTCAGGTCCTGGGCCGAATCCCTTCAGCCTCAGCCCCCAATCCAGGGGAGTCTGTGAGAGGCCCGGACCCAAAATTGCCAAATCTCTTAATTAGGGCTCCCGCGTGCCCCCTGGGGCGCGTCGCATCTTCTCGCGTGGCTTGTTCGGCCCCAGGAGGGCCCGAAGAGGGGCCAAGAGGGCCCCAAGAGGTCCCCGAGACGGTCCAAGAGGACCAGGAGTCGCCAGAAGATCGCTCCAAGACGCCCAACATGGCCTCAAGACGGCCCAAGATGCTCCCAAGACGCCCGAAGAGGCCTCCAGAAGGCCTCCCAGGAGAACCTCAACAGGCAAAAGTCAGTGATGCTCCTCAGGTTGTTGGTGGATGTTGGCGTTCTGGCCGTTTTGGCTTCCCGACGCTTCGAGACGGCCCAAGAAGCCCCCAAGATCACCCCAAGACGGCCCCAGAGGCCTCCAAGATCGCTCCAAAACGGCCCAAGAGGGCCCAGGAGGCGCCCAAGACGGCCCAAGGAGCCCCCAGGAAGGCTGCCAGAGGGAGCCCCGACAGGGGACCCGAATGGACATTTCGACAAGAGAGACCCCCAGGAGGCCCCCGGGAGGCCCCAAGAGGCTCTCAAGAGGCTGCCAAGAGGCCGCCAAGAGGCCCCCGAGGCCCCAAAACTGCCCCCGAGAGCGCCACGAAGGGACCCCAAGAAACATCCCCGAGGACTCTGACCCAAACATGGGCACGGTGGCGGGATGGGCCGAAGGCCATAAGATCCGCCGCCCCCTGCTTGCAGGGGTGCACGGCGTGCTGGACGTTTCAGGTTTTGGTTTTGGTTCTTTTTCTAAAAGAACTCCCCAGTGGGCTTCGGCCCGTCCCGCCGGCCACCCGTAATTTTCCCAAAATCCGTCTGTCAATGCCTTTGTTGCCCCAACTTGGCCCAAGATGGCCTCCAAGACTGAAGCGCCCCAAGAGGGCCCCAAGACGGCCCAGAGAGGCCCCCAAGACGGCTCCAGACGGCGTCAGACGGACCAGGAACGCCCTAAGACGGCCAAAGAGACCCCCAGGAAGCCCCCAAAGGCCCCCAAGAGGCCCAAGGAGGCCCCCAAGATGCCTCCAAGAGGCCTCGAAGAGGCCCCCAAGAAGCCCCCAACAGACCCCAAGGGTGCCCCAAGAGACTCCTAACAACCCTCATCCTCCTACTCTATTTCTTCCTCTTCCTCTTCCTGTTCATAATCATTCTCTCCCATGTGTTCCCCGAAAGCTTTCCAAACCGACTCGGGGAACTCATGGTCCGATAGCTTGGCCAAGCTCTAGTCCAACTTTCGGCCACATCGGCGTTTCCAAAAAGGCAGGGGGCGGCGGTGATTCGCCGTAGGCGTCTTCGATCCGCCGCCCCCTGTGGTCTTGCCACAGGGGTGCACGGCGTGCTGGATGTTTCAGGTTTTGGTTTTGGCTCTTTTTCTAAAAGAACTCCCCAGTGGGCTTCGGCCCGTCCCGCCGGCCACCCGCAAGTTTCCGAAAATCCATCTGTCAATGCCTTTGTTGCCCCAACTTGGCCCAAGATGGCCTCCAAGACGGCCAAGATGGCCCAAGATGGCCTCCAAGATGCCTCCAAGACGGCCAAGATGGCCTCCAAGACGGGTAAGATGGCTCCAAGATGCACCCAAGACGGCCCAAGATGGCCTCAAGATGGTCTAAGACGGCCCAAAAGGCCCGCAAAAGGCCTCCAAGACGGCCCAAGAGCCCTCCAAGACGCCCTCCAGGAAGGCCCGAATAGGTTAAAATCATTGATTTTCCTTAGGTTTTTCAAGGATTTTGGCATGTTCTTCTTTCAGCTCTCCGACGGCCCAAGACGGCCCAAGAGGTCCCCAACATCGCCCCAACAGCACCCAAGAGGCCTCCAAGATGGCCCCATGACGGCCCAAGAGGCCCCCAAGAAGGCCCCAAGAGGGCCTCAAGACGGCCCAAGAGGCCTCCAAGACGCCCAAGATGGCCTCCAAGACGGCCAAGATGGCCCAAGATGGCCTCCAAGATGCCTCCAAGACGGCCAAGATGGCCTCCAAGACGGGCCCGAAGCGCCCCAAGAGGGTCCCCCGTTGGCCCAGAAAGGCCCCCAAGACGGCTCCCGACGGCGTCAGACGTGCCAGGAACCCACCAAGATGGCCGAAGTTGGCTCGAAGCTGGCCCAAGACGGCCCAAGAGGCCCCCAAGAGGGCCTCCAGGAAGGCCAGAAGAGGCCAAAAACATTGATGTTCCTAAGGTTTTTGACGGATTTGACATTTGCTTCTTTTCGACCTTCCGACGGCCCGAGACGGCCCAAGAGCCCCCAACGGTCGCCGAAAGATCGCCCAAGAGGCCTCCAAGATGGCCCCAGAACGGCCCAAGAGGGCCCCAAGACGGCCCCAAGAGGCCCCCAAGACGGCACAGGAGGCCTTTAAGACGCCCAAGATGGTTTCCAAGACGGCCCTGGAGCATTCCAAGAGGGCCCAAGTCGGCCCATAGAGGCCCCCCAAACGGCTTCCGACGGCGTCAGACGGACCAGGAGCCCACCAAGACGGCCGAACATGGCCCTAAGATGGCCCTAAGATGGCCCAAGAGGCCTCCAAGAGGGCCTCCAGGAACGCCCGAAAAAGCCAAAATCATTGATTTCCCTATTGGTTTTCGAAGGATTGTGGCATTTGCTTTTTTCCGTTTTTTCAGGCTTCCGACGGCCCGAGACGACCCAAGTGCCCCAAGACGCCCAAGAGGCCCAAGACACGGCCCCAAGAGGAACCCCTGGACGGGCCCAAGAGTGCTCCAAGACGCTCAAGATGGCCTCCAAGACGGCCGTAGAGCCCTCCAAGGACGTCCTCGAGAAGGCCGAAGGGGTCAAGGTGGCCTCAGAGGCCAAGATGACTGCAAGATGCCCACGTGTTCCCCGAAGGCTTTCCAAACCGATTCGGGGAACACATGGTCCGATAGCTTGGCAGGTCTGGCCTCAACGTTCGGCAACATAGGCGCTTCCAAAAAGGCAGGGGGCGGCGGTGATTCGCCGTAGGCGTCTTCGATAGACAAGCGTCTTCGGTGGCAACTCATGGGAGCCTCCCCATACCATCCAGCTTGTTGGTCGACGGTAATCTACGGTGGTCGACGCTAAATCGACGCCAGTCGACGCTAAATCGGCGCTGTCTCATTGATTGCCAGACGCTACTCGACGCTAGACGGTGTACAACTCGCCATCGCTCGGACCTCCATTCCCTGTGCTTGTTTCGGCTTCGTGCGTGTTTTGTTCGCCATCTGATCAAGGATGCAACTCGATGGCCCTCGCCGAAGGAAAAATGCACACGTCCGAGCGATGCCAAGACAAGGCTCCCAGAATTCGCTACCGAAAGCGTCCATGCGGGCGCCTTGCAGCACACGTCCAAGTCGGACTCCGTGCAGTTCTCCCCGGCGCACCTGGGAGCCGTGCCTGCTGCCACGCATGACCAGGCTCCACAACAGGGAGGCCCTGCGCCTGCGGCCATCGCCCGCGCCATGCTGTTCTGCCCTCGGCTGCACCACTTCCCTCCTCCTCCTCCTCCTCCTCCTCCTCCTCCCCTCCTCCTCCTCCTCCTCCTCCTCCCTCCTCCTCACCCTCCCTCCCTCCTCCTCCTCCTCCCTCCTCCTCCTCCTCCCTCCTCCTCCTCCTCCTCATCCTCCTCCTCCTCCTCCTCCTTCCCCTCCCTCCTCATCCTCCTCCTCCTCTCCTCCTCCTCTCCTCCTCTTCCTCTCCTCTCCTCCTCCTCCTCCTCCTCCCTCATCCTCCTCCTCCTCCTCCTCCTCCTCCTTCCTCCTCCTCCTCCTCCTCCTCCTCCTCCTCCCTTACTCCTCCTCCTCTCTCCCGCACCTCCTCCTCCTTCCTCCTCCTCACCTCCCTCTCGTCCTCCTCCTCATCATCCTCCCATCCTCCTCCTCCTCCTCCTCCTCCTCCTCCTCCTCCTGTTCTTTTCCTTACGAATAACTGCTCCCTCTCGCACCCCGAGGCCGGTCGAAAGGGCGGGCGGGCGTTACGCCTGAGACCTCCTCACCACGCATGACCCTGAAGCTGAAACATTGGCAGCAATTTCACAGACATTCGTTTCATGAATCTGCAAGAGTTTTACGCATTGAGGGCGGGTGGTTTTCAACATGTGGCTCTCGCCTTAGCGCCCCGCGCGTTCGTTTCAAAGTTTCGCACGAGTTTCACGCACTGAAGGCGTTTGTTGTTCAGAACGTGGCTCTCGAAATTAGCGCCGCACGCATTCGTTAAAAAATGCAAGGGTGTCACGGATTGAGGGCGGGTGGCTTCCAAAATGTGGCTATCACCTTAGCGCCGCGCACATTCGTTTTCGTTATAATCACGAGGTTCACGGATTGAGGACGGTTCCTTTTCAAAATGTGGCTCTCGCCGTAGAGCTGCGCACACTCGCATTAAACAGTTGCAACAGCTTCACGGATTCCCATGGTCAACGTCCCACAAATTGCGCCTTGGAAGGACTCAGGACTGCGAGAGCGCAACAATTACCTTCATTCGCGGTGCTGAAGTCCCAGGAATCGCGTTCTGGCGTTCTGGCGCGATTCCGGAACGTCAAAGCGCAACAAACAGATTGATTCATGCCGTTGGAGTCCCGAGAACAGTGTTTTGGCACGCCTCATGGTATTCAAACGGTTGTCTCCCTACGAGGCAACTCCTTGTGGAAATGCATCCTCATAGGGGCATGTGAATAGGGAGCTTGGAGGAAAATATTATTCCAACATCGTTGATGAGTCTTGGGTGTACACTGGTCCTCCTCCTCCTCCTCCTCATCATCATCATCCTCCTCTTCCTCCCAAGAAGCCCCCAAAGAAATTTCGACATGCCCCCTTACAAGGCCCATCCAACAAAAAACACCACCTCCCGCACCCCCTCCCCTCCCCAAGAGAAGAAGAGAGGAACAGGAGGGCAGAGGGGGGAAGGAGGAATGGATGTGGTGGTGGTGGTGGTGCACATCGTCGGGAACCGCTCCTCTGCAAGCGGTTTCCGACCACCCGTGCCTGGAAAACGTCGCGGGCACGAGGACCAGGAGAGCGCCCACATGTTGTTATGTTCAGTTCGTGTCTGCTCTTCGCCAGCAGCGTAAGCGGTTGATCCATACAGACCCGTGACCGGAAGTGCCAGAAACGAGAACATGATCCGCCAAGGTGCATGACCTACTGGGGCGATGAAAAACGATGATCCACCAGCGATGCACCGCAGAGGAAACCACAACAGGCGTGAGACCGACGTAGCGTCTCAGTAGGAGGTATCCCCTGCGCGCGCCCGTCCTCCAACATCCACCATGAAAGGGAACGCAAATTCGTCTCTCACCCGCACCCATGGCGCCACACGATGAAACCTCCGAGGTCAAGGAGCTGCCTGCCAAGCTGCACCGAAGCATACAAGAGAACATCAAGTCCAGATAGGAATTCTCTTCCTGCTGCCCGCAGAGCGACTCAGCACGGCCTGACATCGATGGTAATTTCACACTCCCTTTCCGCCTTACGTCTGCTCGCTCCCTCCTGACCCTGCCCTCTTCTAAGCTCGCTGACCACCCTGCACAACGGAGGCCCCTGTCGCGGTCGCGGTCGCCAGTCCGGAGAAGGAGGAGAAGGAGGAGGAGGAGGAGAAGGAGGAGGGGCTCCTGAAGCAACCTTGAACCTGCGCGCTGGTGTCACCGCCGCGTCGACGCGGCGCGAGCCAGCCGCGAATGGTTCCATCGTTGTTCATCCCTCCTCCCCCACACTTCCCTGGAGTCCGCAATCGTTGGTTCTGAACCATACGTCTTCCAAATTACCCATACAATCCATACGATCCACGTTATCGATGATGCCTATACTATCCTCTTTGCGCCTCTTCCTGCCAGCCTTCCTCAGACGATTCGTTCGACCGGCCTCAAGACACGTCGAGCATGCTCTTCACAAAGGCGCACGGCGTGCGGCACTGGAGACTCCGAAAAAGAAATGCTGTCCTGGCTTGCGCTGCGTCATGCCTAAGGGCCTGCCGCGAGGAGAAACCGTAGAAACGGATGCAGAAAAAGCAGGACACAATGCAAGAAGACAAACGCATATGAGAAGCATCGCACGCCAGATCACCATCAGAAGCCGCAAAGCACGGAGGCGGCGGGGGCGCACGGAGAAGGCGCTTACCAGGAATGGGAGGGGGGCAACGATAGGGGGGCCTGCCACGACGAGAAGCATAAGGAGCGAATGCGGCAAAAGCAGGAGATGATGCAAGAAGACAAACATCGCATGTGAGAATCATCGCACGCCAGATCACCACCGAAGCCGCGAAGCGCGAAGGCCTGGTCCGACACGCCTCGTCGCCAGAGACTCACTTTGAACGCTGTCCTCCTCCTCCTCCTCCTCCTCCTCCTCCTCCTCCTCCTCCTCCTCCTCCTCCTCCTCCTCCTCCTCCTCCTCCTCCTCTGTTGAGGAGGGCGACGTTGGCGGCGCGCGCGGGGGGGTGGCGCTAGGGGGATGGCATTCTAAGCAGGCGTGGGAGCTCAAAAGAAGGCAAGAACCCTCTTAGAAGCCATCCCAGCGTTTAAGAAGCCAATTGAGAAGCCGGAATGGCTTCTGAGAAGGCCCTTGCATTCTTAGAAGCTCCCTCGACTTCTTCGAAGACCATGCCCCTCGCACCACCCTCGGGTGCGCGCCGCAGACGATAGGGGTGAACCAGCTCGGGCGGGGGGGGGGACACATCGGGCCAGAATCGGCGATACATCGCCGACAGCTTAGAGATAGGCCCCCGATAGCGAAACCGAACGCTCCTGAGAGGGTTGGGCTATCAGGCTCGCTCGCATCGGCGTTGAATACGTATTCCCCGAGAGCCGATCGTTGCCCCTGAGACCAGCCACCTCCCCGAACTGCGGAGGGAAGCCACCTGCCCACCGCCACCAACCACCCACACCTGGAAGGCGCCGGCCTTACATCCTACTGATGAGGTCCGCACCTTCCTCAGAAGCAGGGGTGCTTCTGAGAAGCCTCCCCCCTCCCCCATATCCCCTCGGCGCGTGGCCGAGAAGTTGTGTATGGCCATGCAGCTCTTGCTCTCCTTCGGCACCTTCCCCGAACTCGGTGGCGAGCTGCGGGGGGGGGGAAGTGCGAGGGGGCGGGCTGCGGCGGGCCTCCTCGGATGGCTCGGAGGGCCTCTGGCCTTCTGCGAAGCCTCCGACCGGTGGCTCGCAGCTGGTGTCCTGAGGGGTGGGGTCCTACGGACAGGAGGGATCCGAGAGTGGATTTGCACTGCTGGAGGCACCTCCCCCTTGGGACCCCCTCCCTCAGGACCCCAGCCGTGAGCCACCGATCCTGAGCCTTCCCAGGGACAGAAGCGACTTCTCTTAAGTCGGGCGTGTCCCCCAACAGGGAGATTTTCGACGAAAAATACAAAATACTCAACCAATACTCCCAAATGGTCAAATATATAATAATATATATATATATATATATATATATATATATATATACAAAAATAGTCCTCGACTATATTTTTTGACTATTTTTGAATATTCCTCCTGTAGAGGGACGGGCCCGACTTAAGACTTCTCAGAAGGGCGTCTGGAGAGGCCCCGCCGCCCTCTCGTAAGGGCTGCCCCTCCTCGCCTCGGCAGTGACAGGGGGCAGCCCTCCTTGATGGGTCCGTCTCCCACCACCACCACCACCATTAGTTGGAGGGGGGAAGGCGGTGGAGGACGAGGAGGAGGGAGAGGAGGAGGAGGAGGAGGAGGAGGAGGAGGAGGAGGAGGACCCCCTCCACCTCCAGCTTCTGGTGGTGGTGTTGGTGTGTGGTGGAAAACAGGCCCATCACTCCTCAGCTCGGCGGCGCGCCCGGGGGCCCCGGGCGCCCCGCCGACCGACGCTGCCCCGGACCGTCGCGCGGGCTCGGCGGCACGGCGCGGCTCGGCGGCCTTCCCCGCCGGGCACGCGGGCCAGCCCGCGAGCGCGCTGCAGCGGGCCCGCGGCAGGCAGCAGGTGGCGCCGTCGGCGGGCGCGCACGCGCGGGCCTGGCGGGCGGCGGGGGGCGCCCGGGGCCCCCCCGTCGCCGCGAGAGGCCGCGGCGACGTCTCCGACTCCTTCCGGCGGTGGCTCGGCCTCTTGGGGGGAGGGCCTCGGGCCGCGAGGCCATCCAACACGAGATCCGAGATCCGAGGCTCCGCAAAAATTGGAGCGGCCGGCTTTGGGCTACTGTCGGCCTATGGGGCCCCTCCACGGGTCCCGGGACCGCCAAGCACAATTCGGAATGAAAAACCGGTCCTGGGGAACAGGTTCAGACCTCCAGGGGCCAACGCATCGAACAAACTGGAGCGCCGGATGTCTGGGCTTCGGGCCGCGATGCCATCAAATACGAGCACAATCCCCTAACTTTCGTTCTTGATCAACGAAAACATCCTTGGCAAATGTTTTCGCAGTAGTCCGCCTGTTACAAATCCAAGAAATTCACCTCTGACAGTTAAATACGAATGCCCCCAACTGTCCCTATTAATCATTGCCTCAGCTCTAGAAGCCAAAAAAAAAGAACCAAGGTCCTATCTTACTATTCCATGCTAATGCATCCAAGGCGCAAGCCTGCTTGAAACACTCTAATCTCCTCGAAGTAGAAATCCTGGATGGGGTCAATAGCTCCCCAGACATCCTACGTCGGAACCCCTTCCCTGGGGGCCGGCTTTCCGACACAAGCCGTTTGTTGACGGTCCAACAGCCAGGGAAGAGCCCCCGGAGCCCGAGAACTGTCAGCACACGCTCTCCGTCAGGACGTTTCTCACGACGTTTGTCACGACGGGGTGATTGATTCCACGTGGAACCCTGGACCCTGATCTCCGACGCGAGGAGGTCATCATGGTCAGGGGGTCCACGTCGTGGAAGGACACGAAGTCGGAGGTCTGGATGCGGGGAGCATGGCGTGGCGGGAATACATCTCCCACCAGGCAATGCACACGGGGGTCACCACTACGGGGGCGCCAACTCCTGAAGACGCCAAAAAAAATTCCACACCTCGGATTTTCGATCCCCTCGTCCTCGTCCCATGTTCCCGAAGCGGGGCTGCCCCCACCAGATGGTGACCCGTCCCCCCTGGCAGGTTCCCTGAACGGGCACTTTGATAAACCTGGACGCCGGCGCACCCGAGAAGACTGCAGGCGCAGGTCGAAACATGATCCACTCTACTTCTCTCCAGATGGCATTTTCAAAATCATTATGCAACAATGTCCTGACGTGGGACCTGATACCCGATGCCTCGGGAAAAGGTCAACATCTGATAGAAGAAAAAGCACGATCATAACCCCGGAACCCATCTTCCTCCACCAACTTGCGAGGCGCATCGATGTGTGGGGGGTCCTTGGGCCCGAGAGTGTCGGGCCCTTGATCGACCCCCCCCTCCCCCCGCCCGGCCCTCTACCTCCAGGATGGGACGCACAAGGACATACGAGTACAATGCGTCAGCCTGCGTCAGCCTCGAAAGCGAACGTCTGACCCGAACATACAGCACAACCATATCGTAGCAGATCGTTTCCCAAGCGGCACGGCCACAAAACGCCCGCAGCGGAGCACATACTACCGATCAGACCACCCTTCGGGTGATAAGGAGGTCGGGGGGGGGAATGGGGAGGCGGTCGACTTGCGATGAGTCCCACCTACCGCCAACAAAGAATGCGCGGGCAAATAAATACCACCTACTGCCGCTTGTTTCTATCGCTTTAATCGGTCTGTATGTGCATCCATACATCTGTATATGAAAATATGTACGTTCCCTACCTAGGCTCTGCCTAGAAGGGCTCTTACTCTCTTAGCTTAAAGGGGCCGGGCAGTGCAAAGCGCCCCGGGCGGTTCCCCCAGTCCCCTGGGAGCGGTTCCCCCCAGTCCCCTGGGAGCTTTAGCTTTAGCTTTAGCTTTAGCTTTAGCTTTAGCGTTAGCTTTAGCTTTAGCTTTAGAATAGTTTTAGCTTAGCTTTAGCTTAGCTGCAGCTTAGCTTTAGTTTATCGTTTCGTTTAGCTTTTCGCTTAGCGTTTAGCTTAGCTTTAGCTTAGCTTTAGCTTAGCTTTAGCTTAGCTTTAGCTTAGCTTGAGTTTAACTGTAGCTTAGCTTTAGCTTAGCTTTAGCGTAGCTTTAGCTTAGCTTTAGCTTAGCTTTAGCTTAGCTTTAGCTTAGCTTTAGATTAGCTTTAGCCTAGCTTTAGCTTAGCTCTAGATTTACTTTAGCTGTAGCTTAGCTTTAGCTTAGCTGCTGCTCAGCTTTAGCTCAGCTTTAGCTTAACTTTAGCTTAGCGTTAGCTTAGCTTTAGCTTAGTTTTAGCTTTAGCTTTAGCTTTAGCTTAGCTTTAGCTTAGCTTTGGCTTAAGTTTAGCTTAGCTGTGGCTTAGCTTTAGCTGAGCTTTAGCTGAGCTTTAGCCTAGCGTTACTGTTACTACGAATGCTGCTTTCCTAGGGGTTCCAACTCCTAGGTAGGGTCGCGCTGGGATAATTTTCTATATATATATATATGTATATAATCGATCCCTCACGCAGTCCATATCTCTATCTACTTATCCATATATAGCTCGATAGATCCATATATATATATATGTGTGTATACCCTTTCTATCCATCCACGGTGGTGCGTGGTCGCGGCGGCGACGGCGGCGATGGCGGCGACGACGATGATGGCGACACCGCGCCGATCCCCCAGCGCCGTCGCTGCGCCTCGACTCAATTCAGAGCCAGCACTTCGCGTAGCATCGGCCCTCACAGGTCTGGCAGAGCCTGGGCCTATACTTCCGTGTCTGTCTGAGAGCTCTGTCGCACGGAACCTGGCGCCTGCCCGTGACTGCACCGATATGTCGATATACCTCTATATATATATATATATATATATATAGTGGTACCCCTCTCGCTCTCTATGTGTTGTGTCTATACGCATCCATACACCATTCCCGTCGTCGTCGCCCACCTCGCCGTCGCCATCGCCAGGGCCTGGCGCAACCCCATTGCCGCTGGGGCTCGTCCTCTAGCGCGCCGCCAAAAGGCGCTGAGTGGCACCAAATCTGGTCTCTGGCGGTTTTGTCGCAGCGCAAGTGGCTTCCGCCCTGGAGCCCTCGCCAGCGCGGGCCGCTTCCCAGCGCTGCCGAGGGCCGCCCGCCCCCGGGGGCGCCCGGGCCCCGCGCGCCCGGCGGCGCGCGCGCGACCACGCGCAAGGGCTTCGCCCGCATGAGCAACGGCTGGCCACCCCCCCCCTGCGGCGAGACTGCGCAGAAGCAGAACACGCAAAGGCGCGCCGTCAGAGACAGGCGCGCCGCCGCCCCGCTCTGCGCACTCGCGGCACGCGCGCCCCTGGCGCCCCGCCCTTTCCTGGAGCACGCGCGACACGGCGGCCGCAGCCACGCGCGCGCCCCCCGAAACAACGGCCGCGCGCGCAGCGGCCGCGCGACGACGCCGCTGCATAAGAGGCTGTCCTGCGAACGAGCTTGCCCACAACTGGCGGACCGAACGCAGTGCTCGCGAGCTCGGCGCCCCACGTCAAGAAAAATGGCCCCACGCACTTCGACGACGCCCCGTTCCCTCGCGGAGCCGGGGGGGAAGGGCGCGCCAGCCACGGCGGGCGCACGCCCCGCAAGACGCGGGCAGAGACGCAGCGATCGGCCTCAGAAAACAAAGCCGGCGCGCACTCCAGCTCAACGCCAACGGCAACCGCGCGCCCTAAGCCGAGGCGCGCCCGCAAATGCGTCTCCCGGAGCCCGGCCCCCGCCGCGCCGCCGGCGCCGCTGCCGGGGCCTGGCGACCTGGAGGTCTCGAGCCGCTTCAGGGCCACGATTCGGAGTGCGCGGTAGAATCAACACTTGCCCCCCTGCGAAGTGTTCTCCAAGAGCCCGCGCGACCTCCCCAGGAGCGACCGCCGCCCCGGCGCGGCGCCACTCGAAGGCCGCGGCCCCCTGGCACGAGACGCGCACACGGGCGCACCTGAGCACGCTAGTTTGGCCAGATCTTTGGCGCGAACGCCAGACGCCACGCCCAGGACCTGATCACCCATGCGGGGTGCAATCTCGCGAATGTCGCAGCGGCGGCCGAATTTGGGGCCCACTTTCCAGGCGGGCGCGCCACCGCCACAACTGCTCGCTTCTCTGAGGGGGCGCGGCGCCAGCAGAGCCCGGCGCTGCTGCGCGCAGACCCCAGCCCAAGCGCCTGCGATCCCGCTCGGCGAGCTTGCCCGAGCGCACCCTGACCAGGCCCACGAACAATTTCGCGCGACCCTCCGCAGAGGCGAGGCGCTGCTCGCCGCACTTACACGCGCAGGTCTCAGGAAGGTCTCCAAGCAACTTCGAGCACTGCCCCCGGAGGCGCGCAGACTAATCTCCGCCCCGCACGAGATTCGCGACCCACAAACTGCGCCTGTTAGCAGCGCCCAGGAGGAACAGCCGATCGCCGTCGCTGGCAGAGCCTGGCGACCACTCCAACTCGAGCAGGTTCTGCCGCCCCCGAACTCGAAGAGCTCCAACCGCGCCCTGGCCGGCACGCCTCGCGAGTGCCCCCCGCGCCCCAATCGCCCCCCTCTTGCCCCTTCCAGCCCCCGCTGCGTTCCCACGTCCTCGCCACCATACCCCCCCCCCCGCCGCCCCCCCCCGCCCCCTGCCCGCCCCCAGCCCCTCCAATGTGAACTGAAGTAAACTACCAGCGGCATCTCCTCACCATGATCCTCTTCGCCGCCCCCCCTATCCCCCCCCATCAATCCTCGCCGCGCGCCCCCCCCCCCCCCCTCCCCGACCCCCCACCCCTGGAGCGCCTTGCAGGGCCGCCTGGGCGCCCGCGCCCGTCGGGCAAGCCGCGACACAACGAATGTGCGCGCGTTCGACCTCCCGCCCCCTGGGGCCTGCATCTGGGCCAGCTCTCACCGAACTCTCCTCGCGCCAAGGCTGCCGCGCCAATTGCAGGAAGGGCGGCGGCGTATCCGCGCGCGCCGCGGCATGATCGGCAGCCGCGCGCATGTCCGCTGCAGCTTTGTCAGAGACTGGCCCCCGCAGGTCCTCGGCGAACCCCGCGGCGCTCACGAAGACGGCAACTTCTTCCGCTGCGTCGTTGGCGCCACTATGATCGACGCATCTGCCATAGTCGTTAGCGGCAAACGCCTGGGCGAGCTCTTGCAGCGCGCGCGCTGGCGGCGCCGGCGCCTCGGCGAGGTTTTCCAGCGGGCTCGGCGGCAGAGGCGGGCCCATCAGCGCCCTCGCAGTCTCTGCGAGGTTTTGCAGCGGGCACGAGGGCTTGCCGGCAGAGCCTGGCGCGGCCGCGGCCTCTTCTGTAGGCTCGCGCGGCGGGGCGAGGGCGCCCCGCACGGCCTCCGCGGCCGCCGGCTTGCTGACGGGGCTCTGCGCGGCCGCGGCCACTTCTACAAGCCCTGGCGGCGGGGCGAGGGCACCCTGCGCCGCGCGACCTCCGCCCCAGGCTCGCCGGTATCATTCTTCTTCGCGACCGGCTTCGCGCCGGGCGGCGAGGGCACCGACGCTGGCCGCGCAGATGGCGCAGAGAGCGGAGGGGCAGCGTCTGCCGGGGCGCGCGCCCCCGGAGCCGACGGAGCCGAAGCCGCAGCCGACGGAGCCGACGGAGCCGCTACCGCCGCGGCGAAAAATGGCGCGCACAGCCTCGCCTGCGAGGCAAGCCGCGGCGCGAGCCCCACGGACGCAGCGGGCGCGGCTGCGGCGCTGTTCCTGCGCCCTGGGCCGGGCTGGGAGAGTCTGGAGCAGCCGCCCCAGGCGCCGCCGGCTTGCTGACAGAGCGGGGCACGCCCGCGCCCTCTGCTGCAGGACCCTGCGGCGCGCCCTGGGCACCCTGCACGGCCTCCGCGTCAGCCGCCGCGCCCTGCGAGGCCGATGCGCTGGCAGGGCCTGGCGCAAACCGCTTCAAGCTGTCCTGCACGCACTGTTCCACGACCTGTGGTAGCAGCTCCGTAACTTCTACAGCTGGACGTAAAATCCGCCACGCCTTCGCATCCATATCCTGCGGCGGGTCCTTGAACATCACCGACGCTGTGTGAGGCGCCTTATTGTCCTTCGTCTGCGGGTTCCGAGCCACCTCAAACTCGAAAGGCCTGGTCGGGTCGCCATGCCTTGAGTAGATGAGGCAGTTGCTGTCCTGCCCGTGTTTGCCGATATTCCCCTGCGGCGTCTTCGACATGTTCCAGTCGACTTGCCTCATGCCCGAAACTCTCTTGAAAGCTTCGAACAGCTGCTCGCCCGTCATCACGTAGGCGGGGCTGAGCTCTGCGAACCCAACGCGGGAGTTCGTGGTGTACGAGTAGCGATGCTTCACCAAGCATGAGCCATGGTATGGCTCGGAGCTGGCTGAACCTGGCACCGTGACTTGGCGCGGCCCGCTCTCCAGCGATCTGCTGTTGCGGCGTCGATGCTGGCAGCCCTCTGCAGGGCGAAGCAGCTTGACTACAATGTTGGGTTCCTCTCTCCCCCCCCACTTCCCACATTTCCCCATGTTTTCCTAGGAATCGACGATTCATTGTGTCTGTGTGTCTGTTTTTTCCCTCCTGAACATCGGGGGGGGGGCGGAAGGGACTGGTGGGGGGGGCGCACACGGGGGGTCCTCGAGTCGCGGGCAGCGGGAGCCCAGGGTGCGGCACTTGCGGTCGGGGGCCGTTGCTCAGCGTGTCGCGGCGGCGGCCCCTGCGACACGCTGCGCCCCGAAGGCGGACAGCGTGTCGCTCCGCTCCGCGGGGCGGGAGGCTGGGGAGGGCGCGGGGCGCGGACGCCCAAGCATGGGGAAGCGGATAGCGTGCCGTCTCGAAGCGAGGTGGGCCAAAGCCAGCGGCGCGACACTCTGAGCCAAGAGTTCCCGGCCGTGCCGTGGTGGTGGGGGGGACACGCGACGGGGGCCGCGGGCACCTCCAGGCCTGGGGAGGGGGTCACGAC